GCGGGGCTTTCGATGGAAAAAAAAAAAAAAAACGGCTGCTGCTGTCGCGCCGATACGAAAGGCCATGACCAAGCGCGTGATCTGAAAGATACAATTGTTTACGGTTACTTGGAACAGAGTACAAAAGTAACGCCGAACCACATGCTGCTTCACAATGTTTTGTTTGTTTGTTTTTTTTTTTTTACTAACTCGGCTTACACTCAACGTCGAGCTTGACTCTGGCAAATGGCAACCGTAGCCATTTTATATATGACATGCTACACTCACACTCACACACACACGCACGCACACACACACATAAACACACACACACACGCACGCACACATTTTATAGTATGAACTTGTCCCTCTTGATAGTGTGTGAAAGAGATTTTAGTTGGCCTTGTAACAATGTACAATCAATAAAATGTCTGTTCTCACACTCTGACGAAGCGGCCACGCACACACACGCACACACACACACACACACACGCGCACACACACACACACACACACACACACACACACACACACACACCCATGTGAACCGGCACACACATCCTCAATACCTTTATTGATCGAAGGGCAGGCATCAAAATAAACAGCAAGAACTTGCAGAGGCATAGAAAAGGTGACAATCGGCGTCCACTATTGAAGAAAATAATGTCTAAATCACATATCACGGACACACACACACATATACACGCAGCCTCCTGAGAGAAGCGCCATTTAAATGAGCTTGAGTCAAGCACGGACACCTGATGCTATTGCAATGCAAATTTGGCATGGTTCTTAATAACACCCCTCTCTGTTGTGTGTCAAATTTACATGACTTATTTCTACTTTATAGAAACTCAATCTGGGCAAAAGTGTGTTTGTCCTATGGGTTCAATGATTAAAGTACGGGGGGGAAAAAAGTTTTGTTTTTCACATTGTGACGATAAATGACCTTTGGATGGTTGGTTCAACAACACGCACGCACACACACGAGCACGGGGGCCTGCGCAGATAATCTGCTTAGCAATCACAAGGGTGTAAAAGAACAAAGTTCACATCATCATCATCAGCGGCGACAGAGAGGGAGAGAGAAAGAGTGTGAGCACTGTGAACTGGATTAAAAAGCACAAGCAAAAAGTGCCGCTCAAATGACACCTTGTCGAGTTTGTAAGACCGTCATCGGAACATTGTGACAGCAGCCGATACTTTACGTGAGTATTTGAGGCTTCTTGTTAACTTCAATGAAAATTCAGCTCCCAGTTTGAAGTGCCTGTGGTGAACGACCGTCCTTCCGACCAACCGGTCGTTCACTCGCCTGGCTCGTTAGTGGCCACTCTTGCTGCGGAGACAATTTGTGTGTGTCTGTCGGGGGTGAGGGGACCAAGAGGTCAAGGCATTGATAAAGGCAGATGATAGGTGATGATGCAAACCTTGGCATGTGTTTATATCAATGGATTCGACGTCTTTCAAACCAGCCGTCCTCCCCGTGCAGTATTGTTGTCCTCAAAGCAAGGCACCTTCTTTTTGAGATGCAAATGAACTGCTGACTGTGGACCCGAGCAAACTGCTCTCTGATGTTGTGCCATGTGTGTGTGGAGGGGTTGCTTGGGCTCGACAATGTCGAGGTCGTCGCTCTCATCTACCCAGCACTGAATTGACAATGCTGAGTTTGCTCATTTTGAACTGAAGAAACCTTGTGGATGAAAGGTGGAACGTTTTCGATTCACTTTTGCTTTGTTCTTGTCATGTTTTTTTGTTTTTTTTGAAAAACATTTTCAGTGCTGTCCCAACACTCCTTTGTCGTTTTTGAGCGACGTTGCCCTCTAATTAATTCCAGTCGATTGCCGCTCTCGGATAAATGTCACACCTGTTACGTAATTCAGGAAACACCAGCGCTCATTTAAGAACATGGCAGAAAAAAAATAAGCCACTGTCGGCATGGTAACAAGCATCAGGGGCAACCCCTGGCGTAACTTATGCTAAAAAGGCCAAGGGGGGTTGCCATGACAACTGGAAGAAGAATTTAAGGGTGATGGAAAAGTTCTCGAGGCAGGATGCAACATACTTTTTTAAACACGATTGTTTGTTGGGTACTTTTTATTACGTTACGTCTTCCCAAAAAAAAAAAAAAAAAGGTGCACTGTTATGAAAAGCATCCTGCCAGCAGATAATTAAAATATGAAATCACAAGGAAGCGAATGGTACGAGTGTCTCAAATACACCAAAGTAATTAAAGTGTGTTGATAATCAGCCTGGTGTGATGCCGCGAAAGTCGTTGGGGAGAAATGCAATTTAGCGCGTGGATTAATCGATGCAAATTCATTAAAATTGTGTTTTGATGGCTTACCCTTCAAGCCGGCGTGCAGTCACTCCCCGTAGTTAGCAGAAATGCGCACGAGCCCGGCAGGTCTCGAGAGCTCAGACAGACACTCGGCAGGGAACGCTGAACAACATGCTGTTTCACCAAGCCGGGCGGTATGCGAGGTCTTTCGATGGGGAAAAAAAAAAAAACGGCTGCTGCTGTCGCGCCAATACGAAAGGCCATGACCAAGCGCGTGATCTGAAAGATACAATTGTTTACGGTTACTTGGAACAGAGTACAAAAGTAACGCCGAACCACATGCTGCTTCACAATGTTTTGTTTGTTTGTTTTTTTTTTTTTACTAACTCGGCTTACACTCAACGTCGAGCTTGACTCTGGCAAATGGCAACCGTAGCCATTTTATATATGACATGCTACACTCACACTCACACACACACGCACGCACACACACACATAAACACACACACACACGCACGCACACATTTTATAGTATGAACTTGTCCCTCTTGATAGTGTGTGAAAGAGATTTTAGTTGGCCTTGTAACAATGTACAATCAATAAAATGTCTGTTCTCACACTCTGACGAAGCGGCCACGCACACACACGCACACACACACACACACACACGCGCACACACACACACACACACACACACACACACACACACACACACCCA